GAACCGCAGCAGCTTCATGCCGTTATTGTTGAAGTCGCAAAAGCCCTTTTTTCCAGTCACGCCCTTCCAGATTTCGGCGTCTACTCCGATGTGCGCATTAAAATCGCCCATCAATATGAGGGACTATGTATTCGGCACTTCGGACAGAGCACACTACAGTTCATGAAGGAAGGAATCGTATTATCCTCTGAATTGGGCGCACAGACCTTTACCAAGGTCAACGCTTTAGCCGGTTGTTGCTTAGGTCGGAAGATTGCCAACCTTCTACTGACAGTCTTCAAATCAATGATTCTGTGAGGTTGAGTTCTACTAGAACACAAACACCGGCCTGGGTGCACGTCGTGATATCGACACCTCAGTAGAATAGCTTCCACCCGCAGAGGTTCAGGATTCCGGAGCCTTAGCGCTTCGTTGACGAGAGTCCAACCATGTCGAGTTGATACTTTATGGCCTCATCATCTAACTCTTGTTCTTTCCATCCGTGTGAGTTTATGCTCCAGTTTCCGACTTTAAGCTCCCACTGGCGGTTTCCTTCTCATGGATCCTTTCATGACGTGCTGAATGGCATTGCGCTGTCTGCCAACTCCTTTCAGAACAGGTAGCGATTCCGTTGCTGAGTGGCATTATGGTTGTCGTTCCGTCGATGTTCTTCAGCCGTTATGTGCTGCTGCGGCCCCGGCTGGCTAGGGGCGATGAACAGGTTCTGATCGCCGACTTTGCCGTCTGCATCAGTTCCCTAGCAGCCTGCATGGGCTTGTTAACCGGGGCGACGATCGAGTGGGTATAATTTTCGACGACGTGAATACCATGAGGGGCAGGTGGCGGAATTTTACGGAGATTTCGCCACGGTCTCCAGCCCTCCTCCTTTCCCAACAAGACTTTGGACGGGCAATGGCGGAATTATATACCGTACTAAAGATGTCTTCATGCATTTTGTTATTATGTTAGGTTATTCCGTACAATAAGAATCATGTATGATACAAATTTGTACCATTTTAGATCTTTTGCTTCTTGAAGAATCCATTAATTTTAGCGGATAAACGGACTAGACTGAATTTTAAAAGCATTATTGAACTCTAAATTGTGCAGCCTGCAACATTTAACATTTTTTAACTAATTATGTTTCAGATTTTGAAATCTTGTTAAAGAAAGATGATTTAGAACTTCTTACATAGTTCGTTATTCAGGTCTCGTACTGCAAAGAGGTTGCGGACAGATGCATTAACAATTTTGTGTTCCTACAAACGCAGTTGAATGTTGAATCTACCGGCTATAGGTTAAACGACAGGGTCCCTGAAGCGGAGTTTCGCAGTCAGTGAAATTCGAACTGCCTGAGTGAAGTCGAGAGAACGTCGGTTTGTGTTGTGGTCGGATCAACTGCCTTTCAGAGAGTGACGTACATCCTTGCAAAAATGCGGCAAGGCACAGAGTAGCGACATACCATGAACTTAACGAAAGATGCTACAAATAAGGCCAACTAGTGAAAATGTTAGTTTATTAAGTTAATGGTGGATTTTTTTTCTCAATGCCTTATTTGAAAGGTAAGGTCTATAGCAGTTACATGATAAGCATAGCGTCCCATTTGTTTCTTTATCACTTAGAGGAACTCATCAACGTCTACCGGGAATCGAATCCTAAACTTCCCGATTCTGAGTCAGAAATTTCACTTCCTGTGCAGCCCCAGTCTAGTAATAGCGATACTGGAAGGGAGATTAACATTATCAAGACTACAGACCCTATTTAATTACTTGTAAGTGGTGATAACAACTGCAGTGCTCAAGCTAGTAAGCCGTTCATTACTTATTTCCGCAGTAAGAGATTTTATCTTTGAACGAAAGTGGGGAGATGATTATTCTTCCGGTACGATTCAGGCGTTCTTTCTTCAAAATGCTTTTAATTTTTTGTAACGTAATGAATATTCTTATCTCTGTTGTTTTTATTTTAACTTATATTGTTTAGGCTCGTTTTTAAGCTTTGCTGCAATATTAGGCATGAAACGACCAGCGGAAGTGACCATTTTCAACGACCCCAAGCGGGCAAAGCAGGATCCTCATGATGTCTCCTTAGAGATCTTGTAAAGTTAAAATAATCTCATTCAATAATTCTGTCATAAAAGGACATCTTTTGCAGGAACGAGCGAAAGACCGACGTCTGGCTGATACATAAGCCTCGAAATGTAGAACACGAAGCTACATTTAGTCTATCATTTTATGAAGTTTCGTTTAGGTCAGTATGGAAGAACTTATGCGCAAATTCACTTTCAAATCCGGAGGCTTCATTCAACTTGTAAGCTTTTTTACTGACTTGTGAATTTGTCAAATCTAATGTGTACGTTTTAACTTATCTGGCAGGCAAATATAATGAATGCACTACATTGTGTCTCTTAGCTATTGCGAATAGATGTGACTACGTTAAACGTGCCTGTTATTACGAGAAGAATCGTGTCAGCTGACACGCAAGAGTGGTCTTTGATGAGTTTACTCATCCGTAAAATGATGAGTTTTCGAATGAGACATCGTAGTAATTACTGGAAATACATCGAACCTCATTGTCCATTTGCTTTAGTTACCATAGAATTTTCATTTTTTTGTTCCTTATGTAACCTATTTCGCCTTTTGCTAACTGCTACGATTCTTTACAGATTGTATTCACATAAACTAGTGTCAAGTCTGCAAAGCTAAGTCATAATTTACAATATAACATGGAAATTATTATTAGTACTGTAGAGGATTTTGCAGCAAATCAGCCAGATCTGATATATAGATATATGTCTTCTTAAATTCAGTACTATGACATAAACCTTCTATAAGGAAGATTCAGTAATTAAGTTCATCATTAAGTTACCGACCTTTCCAATTTAAATCGTTACATTTTAGGGCGAGAAGCAGTTCGAAGTCACGAGTCAGCCAGTTGTCGAAGGAGCTCATCTTTTGCTGCCATCCTTCGACTCCTATGGAAAAAGGCTTTTCATTGAAAGTATGTAGTATGCAACCTCTCATAGTATGAATACCAGGGAGATTCTCACACCATTCCTATTAACTGCTGAGCATAACCCAGTAGAAGCTTATTTATACTACCTTCAATGGAGCTGGGTGCTCGATTCACGAAAGGTGCTTATTTTCGATCAATAATGTATTCATACCTAGGAAGACAATTCTCGTTAGATGGTGAGAAACTTCGCTGTTCGTCGTCTTCAAGATCGTTCTCAGCGATGAGTGTCGACGATCGAGCTTGTGCTGAAACATGGGCGTTTGTACATCAGATTTACGGAAGGAAGATGACACTGATCAGTCTGTAACGGATAGCTCTTGAGGGTATTGAAAGATGAGAGTTCACTTACATTCTGATAAGAACGCATAGTGTTTCATCCAGTAGGTTTTTAAACACCTTTAACATTTTGGTCCTTAACGACGTAGCGTTGCTGTAATCATAAGAAACGGTGAATTTCTGTTTTTCGCGCTTGTAATTTTATGAACCGCCACCAGTAGTTCCCCTATAAATACGTTAACTCGTAACAGTTACATAATAGTCACCCTTTAACTCACCGCCACAATGCGCAGCCGAATCTTTATGGTTGAATTCTCAGTTTTTCCTTCCTTTTCGCATAAGGCAGTATTAACAGTGTTGCAGAAGGAGCAGTTCCTCTCTTCGAGTAGATCGGTCTTTATCATATGCATCCTTGTGACATGCTGACTCCTTGGTCTATATCCGTTACCACGTCCCCCTAAATATCCAAAGTGAGCTTCTCGTGCAGTCTACTGAAGGGCTAATGTTTTGATCGTCTTACGCCGCTAAGCCATAATATAATATCAGCTTCTTCATCTTGCATCAGATGGTCTTAATTAATTAACCCCCTTAGCTGCTTTTAAGCGCTTGCTACGTGAATTTTCAATAACTGCGTTTTTAGCTCGAAGCAAGATCAAAGGGTTGGTCAGTTTAACGATACCACAGACGCCGATGACGAAGCACAAAGCGCAACCATTCGTTGTTGAACCGGAAATACGCTCTTCGTCCATTCTAATGCAGCGATATCGTCCATTTGGCAGCAGTCATAAGCCAAAAAAGAACAGAAGAAAGCGTTAGCCTGCTCTGGTGCGTAGTCGGTATCAGCGCGGTGGTAGCTTCAAAATTTAACACCCGAAAGAACTTTTATTTCTGACTGACAGCAGCAAGTGTAGTGACACGTCATGCTGCTTCAAACGCTCGAACTAAGCCGTTGAGTGCCGTTCTTACATTCTTCTTCTGCAGAATGCCTAGACAGTGAAAGTTATGACACTCTTATAAAGTAACCAGAATGTGCAATAATTAAGTATTGTAGTTTTAAATGCACCAACCATGCGCATTGTATTTTTGTAAAGATTTTTTTATGGATAACCAACGAAAACGGGCGGAAAGTGACAACTGTACGAATTTGTTGCTACGAAGCAAATGCGTTGCCTCGAAAACACAAAAGTCGATGTTTCAAAATTTATTGTAGAAAGTGATGTTATGTCAATATTTAACACAGAAAATACATTCGTGCATCCAATATGTAATAACGTGCATTGCTGAAATAGACAAAATAAAATTCCTAAAATAATAATCCAAAATTTGTACAAATAATCGTTCCATTTAATATTTTGTCATTCGTGATAAACAACGCAAAAACCATTAGTAAGAACTTCACATATCAACGATTACTTTGTGACAAGGTTCCCGTAGCCGCATAGCGGCGTCCGTAAACATATGGTGACGGCCATCGTACGGAGAGTGGACATTTTGAACACGAGGGCAAAATCGGTTGCTTTGTCCAGACGACGACCAATTAACACAAAAGCGCGGGATGTGAAAGCGGAATTGCAAGTCATCTACTCAACAGTGATCATCTAGCTGATAGTGGAGGAGGAACAAAGGGGACGAACAGGTGAACGGAGAACGTCGCGTGACCAACCTCACGAACGATTGTCGAAGCGAAGTAGCGCCTCCTGTAGTTTGTCCACAATTTCCTGATAGAACACCACCTGAGCTCGTAGAAATTCGGCCATCATTTTGTTGAAGTCTTTCGAACACTCCTTCTTGAAGTGATTCACTTCTGCTAGGGTCGCATAGTTGATGATGTTCACGCGTGATTTGATCATATCGAAGTCAGACGATGGCGCCTTATTTTCTTCCACCAGTCGCTTCTGCTCGCGCTCTTTCTGAACTGCCGACTGAATGCAGAAAATATAAATAGTTTAAAATAAAAAGTATTATTAACAAAAAAATTAAGATTAAAAACATTCCCAGTAAATACTGTATTTACTAGTGATGGAAAGTTGGAGGAAGAGATCGACCGGCGAATTGGAATAGGCAATGGCGTTCTGCGTGAACTAGCCCGACCCACTGTGACTAAAGCAGAGCTCAGTCTGAAAACTAAGCTCTCA